ACACATCACAAATTACAATACTAAATTTGTAAATTAACAACCAATATATAAATCAGTAATCTGTAAATCTATCATTCTCAAATGAAAATGGTACCAACAATAAAATAAAAGGGCAAAAACAAAAACAAAAACAAAAGAAGAAGAGAGGCTCACACAATGGTGCAGGGAGGCAGTGGCAGAGGACGGAGGCTCAGCATCTATTGCTCAAAGAAAGTAGTCAGTAGTTCACAACTGACACGATTAAAAAGTGAAGAAGGCTCAGAATCATGCATCACAAGATAGCCTTAGGGATTGTTTTAACTGTGTGTATATTTAGGGGTTTATTCAATTGGAACTTTTGAAAACTTTGATGGACCTTTTTTAAATGATGATTTTTGTGAATTTTGTGTATCTTTTATAGATTTATATGAAATTAGTGGGAGTTTTTAGTAGACTTCTATGGACTTTTATTTTAAAATTTTTATAGACTTTTGTAGAATTCAAAAGATTTTTGATGACTTTCATTTGAAATATAATTCACTTGGATCAAGTACAATGGTTTAAAATTCTAACATACAAAGTGTTGTTCCACAATTTCCCTTCTCCTTCTCCTTCTTCTTCCTGTATAATAAAAAAACTGAAAGAATAAAAATGAATAATAATCAAAATTATATATATACAATAAATTTAAAATTCAATATTATTAATATAAGGGAAAATTGCAGTCACGATACCAAATATTTCGTTTATTAGCAGATTTGACCCAAACATTTCATTTGTGCCACTATAGGTATTTAACCTTTAAAAAATTGACTAAACAAGTCCAAAATAACGGTTTCCTTCTATTTGACCCAAAAAATTGTCAGTTGACCACATAAATGGAAAAAAATTATAATTTTGATCAAATAAAGCAAGGTCAATTTGGTCAGAACACATTTTGCCTATGTAATCAAAAATAAAAAATCACAGCCCCTCACCCTACGTCCTTTTTCCCCAACTCCATCAACCTAAATCCAAAACCACACACACCCGATTGCTGGTAGACCCTGCCATCGTCGGCACTACCGTCTCAAAGTCGTCGGCATTCCAGATTCAAAAGAAAAAAGAAGATTCTTTTTCTTCTCGACCCCTTCCCCACCTGCCCTCACCTACCCAAAACCAAATCTAAGATCCAGATAGCCACCGTCATCACTACCTTCATACTCTTCCATTTGCCAAAATTCGCTTACTCATCTCCTCTCTATAAAGCTTGCTCATTCAATTTTAATCTCATCCTCTTATTGTATTTACAAGATCTTTGCTTGAGCTTCATTCAGTTTTTGTTTTGATGAGAGATTACAGCAAGGCCAAATTGGATGCTTCATTCACCAGAACTTGTGCAAATTTGTACCTATTTTTTGTTTTTAATAATTGTTATATAGTGTACTGTTATTGAGTGGGAAAAATTTCAGATTGTGCATGTTTAATTTCGTTTCTTCCTTTTTATTCAATATTTTAATTATTTATGTGGAAATATGGTAAAGTTACAATTTTACCCTTTGTAGATTTGATCAAAATTATTTTATAGAGTCAACTAACGATCAATGGATGGTTTTCATCCATTTCAGCTCTAGGTACGAATTTTGTAAAAGTTTGGTACTTTCGGTAGCACAAATGAAAGGATTAGGTCAAGTCTACTAATAAACGAAAGATTTTGTACATTGGCTGCAATTTTCCCTTAATATAATATACTTTTACAAATATATAAAAGTCAATATATTTAAATTTAGTTATAGATTTTTCCTATAAAATTTCATAATTTAAAAAAATAATATTTTTCACAAAAAATGAATGAAAAAAGGAAAAAAATTACAAAAATTCAATTTAATTTTTCATAGAATAAACAATAAGAGAGAGAGAGAGAGAGAGAGAGAAGTGGAAATAAAAATAATCAATAGAAAAAATAAGTTTTAATCATGCCTCTAACTCTAATGTTCGTAGAAAGAAAAAGGAAATAAAGATTAAAAAAAACATTTTATTTTTTGAAAGTCTCCCAAGATATTAATGAGATTCTTTATGAGTACTTTCTGCTTAAAAGTTAGTACTCTAGAGACTTTTGTAAAATTTGAATATCCCAATATTTATAGAGATTTCTAAAACATTTTAATTGAATGTATCGTAACTTTTAAATATTTTTTAAAAGTTTATAAAAGTCTCAATCTAATACAATGTAACTTTTAGAGATTTTTTAAAAGTCTATAAAATTCCAAATTGAATACATCAATAATTTTAGAGAGTATAAAAATTGTCTATATTGAATATCCCTGAACTTTTTAAATCCCACAAAATTATTAAAGTCTCAATTGAATATACCCAGGAATCATTCCCAACACAAAGCAGGTCTATGGTTATGCGCATTAAAAAATAAAAAAAATAAAAAAATTGATTTTCCAAAACAGAAGGCCAACAATCTTAAAAAAAGAAAAAGAAAATTAAAAATAAAAGCCCAAAACTCATCTTCCCTCTTTAAAGCTTCCCGGCGACTGCAACAATGATGAGTGGCCGCTACTTCCAATCTGTAAATTCCGACGGACCCAGGAAGTACCACCACGGCAACTCTCCGGCACTGTATATATATTCATTTTTGTTTTATTCTTAAATATATGTTAATTCTGCAAAATTTTGCTATCCACCATTTTGCCAAACAACTTTTCAGACCACATAACTAACAACCGAACCATCGAGTCTTATCCTTGTTTGACACCCATTAAAATTTTAATACATTTTTTGTATCTTCTTTTCAATCCCACGTTTTTCGATAAAATAATATCACACATAAATCCAAAAAAAAAATCCTTCTTTTTTAACCACACGTTCTCCCAAAAGATATTATTCCATAATACATTTTACCAAAATTCTCATTATAATGGATATCAAACAAGGGCTTAATCTTACTTTTAATGGTATGAATTCGAACAATGTGTTGTGAACTCATTGTCAAATTTCGAGATATGGGTCCTCGATAAGACATCACAACTTGATAAAAATGAAGTGTATGCAGTACGTAAATAAGGAAGCGTGACTTCCCGTGCCAATTGAAGGTAAAATAAGAATAAACTCAAATAGTTTGGGCATATATAGATCTAAAAAAGTTACTTTTTACAATACGATACAATCTTAGTACAATATTTATAAGAGGTAGAGGTACTCAAAAATTATCGTAGCTTGATGTGTTAGAGAAGATCCGATCTGATCCGATATAGCAAAATAGTTATTATTGAGCTGAACGATACAAGGATTCGACTTCAAAATTCAACAAATTTGTGAATCCTCCAAATTCATAAAGTTTATTTGTCTTTATTTTTTGTAAAGTCAATTTCTTCTTGTCAATTCTTTCACGAGCACCTGTTCTCCTCGTGTGAATAAATAAACAAAACGTTGACAGTCTACTTACTGCATGTGATGATGGGTTCATTTGTAACAAGCTTCTAACATTTTGCACCAATACTCCAAATAGAATTTATTTGTTATTGTCATTGTCGTCGTCGTCGTCGTCGTTGTCGTTGTTATTATTATTATTATTATTATTTTGAGAAGCTCATCAGTCGAATTAAATGTAGCGATTTGATTGAAACAAAAGTCGTATAATATTAGTAACCTAATAATAGTAGAATGAAGTTGAATTACTAGCTTGAATTGGGACGTAGATTTAGATTTTCTTTTTTTTCTTTTTTAACCCTCTCGTGTCTGTTTGATTAGAGCTTAAATTCATCATGAAATCTTAAAATCTCTCTAGAACATACGATTTGAAGATTGTGAATTCATAAAAATCAAATTCTTAGAATACTAAACTAGATTTTTCTAAACTACGAGTAGACCAAATTTAAATCGTTGTAAAACTATTTAAGTAAAAAGAATGAAAAATAAACCATTAAGTAAAAAGATAACACTTGAACAATTTTTGCATCAATGTATATTCTTTTTCTTTTTCTTTCTTTTTTTTTTATCGATAAATGTGTAATATAGTGATGAATGTATACATTCATCATTTCATCTTCTTATGGTTATGCCCTGGAAAAATCCTGTGGTAGACAACCGTTTGAACAAGATAAGAGAAAATCAATAGATGAGAACAAAAAGTGGCAATAATGTCGGTCACATGCGACATTCAGCAGAGAAAAGAGAGGTCTAAAGAAATTTTCGCATACTCTGTGGGAAAAGGATGGCCCTTTTACCTGTTTCTTGTGTTTTTGTAAAAGAAGAAATAGTTTCATCTATTCCGTTAAACCCTTTTTACACCCAAACTTCATCTCTTCTATGTTCGAGAATGTTCATTATACTGTCTCGTCCTATTCGATACTGGATTAAATCGATCATTCCCATGGATGGACGGATCACAACTTTAAGTAAACGACGCCTCGTCCTATTTGACATTGAGAATAGTCAATCGAAGAGTAAAAATGATATAAGAATCATACTTTTTAAACATTTCGACCACATCGAATGAGACTTCTCGAGGGAGCAAAGACTTCGGTTTTTGTATTTGAAGGAGTAGAATCTTTATGGCTCTATACTATGCTTGAAAAAAATAAATAAATAAAATAAAATTATGTTAGATTTTGTTAATTATATTTTCATGACATATTTAACCCCTTTTGATGGTCATTATTTGGTCGAATCAATGTTTTGAATAATAATTTTTAAAAGAATATAGGGTTAAAAAGTAGGAAATATTTTGGATTTACATACAGAGTATCTTATTGTACGAATATGTATTTGAAAATGAGTATATAGAAAAAAGAATTTTCTGACAAATAGGAGCACATATAAACATTCCTTATAAGTATTTGTAATTTGTCACGTGAAATGGCCCTAAATCTATTTCGTTTGGTAAGTAAAATTAGGAAATGGACATTACGTAAATAATAATTATACAAATAACAATACGATGTTGTATCATACAGTCTACGGAACACGTCACGAGGGTATAATAGTCATATGATAAACTTTTGGAGCCTATATATAAACTTGCTGAAATTCCATCGACACATTTTTACATGAAGCAATAGATTCCTAGAAGCATATATACCATGAAAACGTTACATCTAGTTTCCTCTCTCCCTTTTCTCTTCACAACTCTACTCTTCCATCTCCAACAAACTCCAGCCCTACAATACTCCTCCAGTAGCACCGCCACTACCGCCACTGTCTACGGCCAAACCACCACCATCATGCAGCCAACTTCGGCCCCCGCCGCAAATAACACAGATTTTATCCGCAAAAGTTGCAAAACAACACTATACCCCGAACTATGCTACGATTCTCTTGCACGCTACGCCAATGTTGTGCAGCAAGATCCCGATCAACTAGTCCGTATTGCCGTCAGAATTAGCCTAGCCGAAGCCAAGCTCATGCCTGCTTACGTATCAAATCTCACACACCAAACTGAGTATGGAGCAGGAGCCGACCCTCGGGTGGCGAACGCTCTACACGACTGCTCTACTGTTCTTAGAGATGCGATCGAGCAAATACGTATCTCGCTCAAGCAACTCGGCCACCTGGGAAGCCCTGGCCCGACATTCGTGTTTCAAGTGAGCAACGTTCAGACGTGGATGAGCGCTGCCTTGACCTACGAGGAGACGTGTACTGATGGATTTAGTGATGTGCCCGACGGACCGATGAAAAGTGACTTATGTGGTCGAGTACTCAAGCTGAAGGAAATGACTAGCAATGCGCTAGCTTTGGTTAATAATTATGTTGCCCGTAATCTGTGAATATGTTAAGAAAATCAGATGATGTAGTTCGGTTAGAGATGTAAAGTGATATTTTCATCCTTTAATCATTTCAATTACTGCTCGATATGGACTGGATTGCTTACCCATTGGCCAATTCTTATTGTTGTATGTCTTGTAATATTTTTCAATAAAAAGATCATTGATTATATTAATCCCTTGTTTGGTGGAATTAAAATTAGATTTTTAATATATTTTGATAAAAGTTAATGAAATGTGTAGTGGAAAATATGCGAATCCCTTAAAATATGTTGTTAAAATTAATTATTGACTTTGATTTAAATTAAAATCTAGATTTTAATTCAGACCAAACAAGGGCTAAATGGGTCCCGATTTCAAGCCTCATAAGACAATTATTTAAACATAGCAAGAATTGGTATATGTTTGGCTCATGTTTATAAATTATTTATAAATTGTCAAACATCTTTTATTCACTACGTTGAACAACTCACAAGTAATACCACTTATTTATTGTTGACCTCGATTTTTGAAGGGAGGACGTGGCCAACATATTGCGACTCTTCATACGTCTATGCAAACCTTGCTTCTGGACATTTGAACAAATCGCAAGTCACACATGACCATCTCTGATGGTGGAGAAGGTAGTCGGAGCACTCCATTGTTCAAATCAGTCAATGTATAAGTATTTGAGTGTGAAACATGCTAAAAACATGAGCCACAAAGCGAATAACGGTTAGATCCAAGAGAGTGTGAAGAAAAAATAATGAGAGCAAGTTTATAGTTTGAGTGTATAAAGTTGCATTACCTTCAAATTATACTTAACGTGAGTTGTTATAGAAGAAGAGTTGTGCTACAATCGTTGGATGGAAAGACACGTGGCCCTATCCTAATTGCCGAAGTGACCTTTCTTATGTTTCACTCCATCCATCATAGGCTGAATGGTATTTAATATTTCTAAAAAGTAGCTGCCCTAGTGCCTATGTCTAACCTCTAATGATGAGAGCAAGTTTATAGTTTGAGTGTATAAAGCTGCATTACCTTCAAATGATACTAAACGTGAGTTGTTATAGGAGAAGAGTTGTGCTACAATCGTTGGATGGAAAGACACGTGGCTCTATCCTGATGGCTAAAGTGACCTTTCTTATGTTTCACTCCATCCATCATAGGCTGAACGGTATTTAATATTTCTAAAAAGTAGTTGCCCTAGTGCCTATGTCTAACCTCTAATTCATAGACTGACAATTTGACCTTTAGGCGCTTGCTACAAAGATATCACATCAATTAATCACAGGTAGTTCTTATATGGAAAGTGTAAAGTGGGAAGCGCCTTTAATTAGACGATGGATGTCGAGCTCTACATGGCACCTCAACTGGCATGGTGCATCATCTCGACTTCTTATTTGTGGCTTACCTCGACCAAATAAGAGGATGATATGAAGTATGGGCCTTATTGTCTTGTTTACTGGCTACCACGTGGAGGTAATCTGGAACCTCGTCAAAAGAGATGTAACAATAATCCTTCAAATCCATGTATGGACTAATGATTTGGTGTCTATTGTAGAGATGTCACCTCAATCAATTGCAAGTGGATCTTGTATTGAAGATGTGTGAGAAGGTGTCTATGATAAATAGGATTGGCAACGGTTCGATTAGGTGTCGATTCGACCAAAACCATCATCGAACCACCAATTTTTTTGTCATACCATAACCATGTAAGTCAGTTCGGTTCACACATCTGTTCAACTCATTAATAACCACGAAAATAAATTATTTTTATAGGTCCAATCGTCAAATTAAAAAAAAATTATAAAAAAAAAAGTCAATGAAAACAAAAACATAATATTAAGCCAATGTAGCGAACAACATCCCAAATGAAAATACAAACAATATCCCAATTCAATATCCACATAAAATATGTACCCTCATTTCAATATCACAATAAAAAAAATAAAGGTTGTTCATTAAATACATTAAACTGAGAAAGAATTTTGGCAGCCAAAGATCATGCATTACTTGTTCCTCTCTGAGTGATATCCACTAATGATATTTGAGCAGAATTCCCATATTTTTGCTTAAATTCAACAATTCTAAAAATTTTCTGTAAAATCTCTAGAGATTTTTCTTGCAATCGGTGTAGGGTGAATTTAATAGCTTAATAACTTGCTCGTATCCTTGCATTTTCATTGATTATTCTCAAACTTAAAGTGCATATTATCGATTTCCTTCAGCAATAAAACTTAATCTCTCTCGGCAAACTAAGTTCATTAAATTCATCTTTTATGTGGAGAAGAAAAAATATTGAATCAAATGCTCAAACTCGACAAAAACAAAATAGATACAGATTACAGAAACAGCAATTAGCAAACAGGAAGAGGAAAAAAAATACCCTCCTATTTGAGGATGGTGATAGCGAGCAAGAAAGAATATGGTGTGGAGAAGAAAATAAATTTGGGGACACACTGCAAAGACTCGAGTGAAGACGGCTGTCAGCTAATGTCTTATTGAATTTGATTCCATTTTTATTTTTTTTTGTGGTAGGATTAGTACTTAGTGAATAAGTAGTAACTGGGTTAGGTTACTTAATGGGTCGATAATGAGCCATAAATTTTGGGCTAGACAAATTATAATGGAAAAAATAATGGAAACCCCAATTGCCCATTTTCTTTTTTAACGGGTAATCGGTTCAGAGCGAAACGAAGACGCAAATAATAGAAAGAATAATGGAAAGCCCAATTGCCCATTTTCTTTTTTAACGAGTAATTGATTCGGGGCGGGACGACGACATAAATACCATACCCACGCCGCCCCGAACCGACTCAGGTCACTAAATTCAAATATCATATCCGTCCTATTGCAACATCGATTTTATTTTTATTTTTTGCCCCAATCGATTCGGTTAACCACGATTTTCAGTTTTGACAGTTCAAATTGCCATCCATTACCACAAACTCCTTTGCAACATGCATAGCACGCCATGGAGGTCAACCTCTACATGGCACCTCGACTGGGGTGGTACATCACCTCGGCTACCTCATCTGCATCCTCCACTCGGCCAAGTAGGTAGATTATGTGGAGTGTAAGCCTTGTTTACTTGCTAATTAACTATCACATGAAGGTAATTTCAAACCTTGATAGAAAATGTGTAACAATTACTATTTATTTATAATTTAAATCATTTATAAACACTTTCCACACGTTTATTTCAGATGTTTTTACATTTTCCTAGAATTTTTATCGTGATAAATAAACAGCTGGAAGTTCACGTGGAGTCCCTTACCCTTTAAAAATATTGTATATAACATGAATTCAACAATTTATGCACCTAATTTCTACAAAATTAAAAAACAAGTACGTTATCGTGAAGCGTAATAAAAGCATCAGTACTGCATAAACCTAATTTCTACAAAATTAAAGAACAATACGTTATCATGAAGCGTAATAAAAGAAGCAGCACTGCATAAAAAAGCAATTAAGTATTATTGCCATCTAGTGTATGGTACAAGTTACAAATAGAAGTGTATAAAAGAAATAAAATATAAAGATTGGTCCCCATATTTAACAAAATTCTCATCAAGATCCCATCATGCATAGGCTACATTTATAGAAAACTTTATAAGTTCTGATTGTATGAAGGTTTTCTAGTATCAACACAATCAGAAACAGGACTGTAATTTCTTATTGAAAACAAACAAAAATATAAATGTTGTTTAGCGGAATATGTTTCATGTAATGAAAGTCGGCGCAGATCGGCCGGTGAATTCTTGCATCTTAGACAGTTTAAGAGCAACCTCAACCTGCAGCCATTTCGAACCAATTGTCAGAAAGAGGGGGGAGAGCGGGCAGGAAATGAAAAGCTGAGTGATGTCTCACCAGAGGAGCAAGTGCTTCTTGAGAATCTCCCCCCATCTTGGATGGATCCTTCTCGTATTGCTCAATATAAAGACGGACGGTAGCACCCTCAGAACCAGTTCCAGAGCGCCGGAAAACCTGGAGCATATTCAACATTGGATCTGAGTGAGAATTCTTTTCAAGATAAAAGTAAAATTAGGAGACCTTATAATCTCCTTTCATGTCCTCTATTTACTTGATTATTTATAGTTCAGTTCCTGATGAAGTCCCATGATCATGTAACATTTCATAAGTTCTAGGACTCAAGCGTGGTAAATATGGCAAGTTTTAAACCGCTGTAAAGATGATATAGTCAAAATTTTAATGGAAATATTGCTGGGAAGGAAGAGTGTACCAATCGGGATCCATCTTCAAACAGATACCGGATGCCCTGATGCTTTGAAATGGAACCATCAACTGGATCTTTGTACTCAAATTCATCAGCATTGACAACATTCGATACGTCCAAACGCATTCCCTTTATTATTCTGTAAAGAATGGAAAAGTGTAAGATATACGTAAGAAATATTTTTATGATTGAGTACCCAAATATCATTATAACTAAAAAATCCTCTAATAGTCAAAGAACAATTCACAGTGAGAAAAATTCACAGTGAGAAAAAAGAACGTGTTCCCTTTATTATCCTGTAAGAATGAAGAGTTGAGTACCCAAATATCATTTTATAATATATATATATATATATATATATATATATATATATATATATCAATCCTCTAATAGTCAAAGAACAATGCACAATGATTTCTTACATAAGCTTCTTGGCTAAATACTATTCATTGAGCTCCAAAAGTTGATAGCAATCTCAATAAATAGACTTTCTAAGAAATACATCTGCATTTTAGTTACAGCTGTCGACAAGAATTATAGCAACTAACGAATGTTTACTATATATATATATATATATATATATCAATCCTCTAATAGTCAAAGAACAATGCACAATGATTTCTTACATAAGCTTCTTGGCTAAATACTATTCATTGAGCTCCAAAAGTTGATAGCAATCTCAATAAATAGACTTTCTAAGAAATACATCTGCATTTTAGTTACAGCTGTCGACAAGAATTATAGCAACTAACGAATGTTTACTTAGAAAAAGTATCAATCTGTTTATTGTTGAAAACAGGAGAGCCCATAAAAAAATTACACCAACTGAAATAATCAATGTTATTGACGTTCATAGCATTAGAGGAAAAACCATACTATGCAAGCCTCATGGGATCCACTCTTACTTCCAATTAAATCACTCAGTAGCACTCCCATTAGAATGTAATCCATCT